CACGGGATCGCCAACGAGGTTGTATTCATTGACGACCTTAAACCGTAAGTTCACAAAATGCTAAAAAAGCTTTAAATTTCCCTTTACCGCAATGCTGACGGTCTTCCCACTCTTCCGGCAGCCCGTGCAGCGGTACACGACGTTGCCTTGCGTCGTTGTTCGCAGGTGCTCAAACAAATAACACAAGGTCTGACCTGTAAAAGAATTGTGATTAACAGCTTTTAAACGAGCTACAACGGCGGAAAGAGGTCTGACTGATGTACCTGGTATCGGGATACCTTATCACCTTGTAAACTCCTTGCTTACTTTCCTCCAGAGCTCCACGAAACAGCTCGCCCGTAAGATTTACCCTTCTGACGAGGGCGAGGGTTGCTGCTGGCTGAAACAGGGAGCACAAACTTTGAAATTCATTGTCACATAACAGCAGCAATCATTCCTAGACTATTTCGACTTACCCCCTGATGTTGATGGTAGGTCCACGGGCGATGCTGTTGCCTCGTTCGAGGTGGACGGGCGGTCGCCCGCAACACACCTTACTGAAAAATATTGAGAATAGAGAGAGACTGCTCAAAAGATAAAACCATCAAGTGGCGTATTTTGCCTTTCGACCTTATTTATCGTGGTCCCACTACCTGTTATAGGCAAGTTCATGATAAACCTCTAAGAATTAAACATGAAAACAATGAAGGCATAAACTCTAGTAAGTCCCCTCTGTACACTATTGGCAGAACTGTTATACCATTATCATTACCTGAGGCCAGAGCAGCCATCAACAAAGGGAAATTAGCAAGGTTGACACGGCTTGTGTCCGTGCCTGAAAATGCTATAATAATGTGCCATAAATGTTCTATAATAATGTGTCATAAATCGCACTTCAATTAATTAAATAATACCTGACACGCTCTGATTAGAGCTATTAGCAGAGCTGTTAGTAGAGTAGCTGTCACCGTCCATGTTTAGTGATAACTAATTACCTTGTAATCGTAATCAACTGTCTTGCCCTCATTACTGTCTTGCCCTCATTAACGATGTCCCAACATTAGCAAACCAATGATTCCCTTCAGCAAAGCAATGTTTTCCGTTGGCAATGTAAGGCCTTCGTCAGGAATTCTACGTGTGACTCCTGTCCCCATACATCCGAAGGGTGTAACAGGCCACACAGATGGGTGCTGTTTGCCTTGAGGACTGTTGTAGCCTTAGGTCCAGCAGCTCATTTTGGCAATGCAGAGCATTTATAGAGCAACATTTATTGAAATACTTTCACAACCAGAGTACTCATAAGTGAGAAACGGAAGCATAAGCAGGGACGCTGTGCTGGATTCTAGCAGTCTACGATGGGGTTCATGTTAAAAAATTACATGACAACCCTCGTAAATATGCCAGAACTGAGAAAAAACAGCACAATAGGGAAGATGGCAAGGGTAAGAATAGAAACTGGATCACAGTGATGGTGACAGAGAAAATAATTGCAAATCTAGGGACGCTGTGCTGGATTCTAGCAGTCTACGATGGGGTTCATGTTAAAAAAATTACATGACAACCCTCGTAAATATGCCAGAACTGAGAAAAACAAAAAAAGAAAAAAAACAGCACATCATGAATGATCAGGTAAAAGCAAATATATAAAAATGTTAATGCTGAGTAAAAAAATGTAAAGAGCAGCAAAATACAACACCAGAATTTCACAAAAAGATGGCGGCGAATATTAGCAATGTAGCAG